TGTACATTAGATGATATTTTCAGAATTCAAAGAGAAAAGCTCTGCATGCTTCAGAAAGACACATTGGCGAATTTTGTCTCATGCAAAACAACTTAAACTCAGTCCAATTACTTTCTTCGTGGAAAATGTTTGTTGAACGTTGCTCAATAAGACGTGCCATTTCAAGCTCTTCTGCACATTACTCTGCGTTTGCTCTGGCGTCGCCGTATGATTCGTTGAGGACAGAGACCAGCACATTCATTAGTAATAGCAGAGCTCCAGCGTAGCCCCATAATTATACGAAATAGTAGTAACCCATCAAGCCGAAAAAATTTGGTTGTACGACCGTACGACCGTACGACCTTACGACCGTATAAGGTGCTACTTCTAGCATGCGCGGCCAACTGTACCACGGGCACTATCTTAGCCATTTCGTAAGGGAAGGGTGAGGGAGAAGGTAATGCGCAGGCGCGATTGCGTGCGTAACTTGGATACCCCATTAGTGTGCGCCAATAGACACCGTCAGATGACGATAAAGTGCGCATACTCGAACGTCGAGCTGCAGCGTAGCGTACTGCGGGCACACGGTTAGGCATTGCACGAGGGCTTCACGTGAGCTAATAGATGTAATTTGCCACTCGCGTTTTGAGCGGGAAATCAAACTGGTCAGGATGTAGTTGAACAGTAATTCTGAGAATTTTGCAATTTCTAAACAACTCGTAAGGCAACAATACCGGCAGAGTTTAAGCTTTGTCAACCGGAGGAAACTGCTATAATTCAAGTTCATGGAGAAAGGGTTTTAAAAGAAAATAGGCTGGATGTAAAAAGACAGAGCGACCAAAAAAAGCAACAAGTAAACGGCGTAAAGCGAGTCCAGAAAATCGCGTAAGAAAGTTAGAAAGGACGCCAAAAGACGCTTAAGAAAGGACGCCAAAATAGGCAGAATACGGCGAGAGGAATGCGAAAGAGAACAATAAAGGGCATAGGTAAAAAAGCGAGTATCTAGCGAAGAGCAACGGGATAAGGAACTACAAAGTCGCTCCTGAAAACAGACTGAAAAGAGGTCATCAACAAAGAGAAGCAAACTGCAAAGGATCCGCGAAAGAAGAGGAGGTAAGTCGCGTCTTATCTGGGTTTTCTCTTACGCTAAGACCCAGAAAAAATTCAAACTTTTTTTTTTACCGATCGTCGTTTGATACAAGCTTCAGTTTTTAATTCAACTGATCACGTTTCGGTTAAACATTGACTCTGGCATTCATCGTCTAAAAACCCTCATCGTTCGAATAATATTTCATAGTGTTCGTATTCTTCAAGTTGTTTCTTCTCCTTTCGTTTGAAAGTTTAACGCAGTCGTGGTGTCATAGGAAAAGAAGTTATCTTACGTATTTTGTTTTGTCTTGAAAGTTTTCAAATGATGGCGAACGGCGAGCGCAAGTTTTTACTTTTTTTTTTCTTCAGTTAATTATCGCAGGATTTACTCTGTTCATTTGAAAAATTCGCGCTTTGCCGAAGATGTGTTGTTTTACCCTAAGAACGAAGTAATGGCCTTTCCCAAAATTGAAATAAAATGATATTAAATCAACGATATTCATGTTTACATTAAGTCTGACGCGGTAACTTGATTCTGACGATATTGTCATTTAAGAACCCGTCAAACATCTAAGAATCAAATTACGGACCGCAAATGTGAGGTGCAAAAACACTCACGGGTAAAATGGGATTTTAATTGTTTGGTTGTCTTACTTTTCAGCGCTATATTTTCATGCTTTCTACTCGATTTGCCCGAACTTCAAGAAATGGTTTGTCTCACAAAACATGGAGCTACTTTCTCTCCGCTCAACATCTCGAGGTGTTATGATGAACATGCTTGCGATACGATATTTTTTTCCTTATGTTGGAAACTGAAGAATTAATCTCTGAAATTGGTAGTCATCACATTTTGCAATTAAACGGGGTTCTGGCAATTTGACCTCACAAGGGCGCTGGTAAGTGAAGTGTGGACGTCTTGTATTCTGCAGCATACACCTTTATTGATATCTGTCGGGCTATACCAGCAACTAAACTACTCGCTACATCTAGTTACAAACTCGGCTCCTATAGGTACGGATGAGGATCTAGAAAGTTCCGTAACATTACAGCAGATGCTATTTATACACAGCTATAATTCTAGAACATTCTTGAAGGTTACACTACAGTAAGCTCATGGTTAGCGTAAATAATTGTTGTTTAAAGTTTTGGAATTCAAGAGCAGTTTTTGAGAGCCTATTTCTGTAACGTTCCTGGATATTTTCTATTAAATTCACTGAGGTTCAGTCTCGGAATTTCATAAGCGAACATGAATGATAGATTCGTATCGGCACCATAATTTAGGGAAATTTTGTCAACACATTAACATTTTACAATTCGCCAACCATTTCTGTAACCTGCTTGGATATTCTCTTTTGAGGTAATTGAGTCACACCCTCGGAATTTCATTTAGTAATTAAGAACGACAAATCCGTATATATAGCACAAGTGAAGCACATTTTAAACTTATAGGAAACATACAGTTCTTGTGATGTTAGTTTCGAGGATTTAGTAAATGAATCATCTTATAATCCCCTAACTGATATTTTTCTTTATTCTCATAACTTGTCTGTTTGATATTGTTTTGATATTGTAAGGAATAATTCTGTCTTGGTCGCTCATGGGAATTAAAGGGTTAAAATGGGGGATTTCATCATGTTGTAATGATTAACATATTCTTATGCTTTCAAATGTAACAAAAAATGTGATGAGAATCTAATGTTATGAAACTTTTCAACTTCCAGGGTGGAAGAGTAGAAGACTATAGACCACAACTCCGATTTTCCTCCACTAGGTGAAATTTATTTTTCATGTTTTCGACACTTTTCACAAAAATAATAAACTTGGAACAATGTACACAAAAAAAAAAAAAAAGATTTCTTTTTTAATGCTAGTTTCCTCTACGGAAAGGCAGCCCTGCTAATATTGTCATGGACCTTTCTTATTGTCACTTGTTCCATGTAATATTGCAGGTAACTTTTTTATAGCCGTAAAACAAAAAAACGTAAAACAAAATTAGAGGGAATTGCATTAACGTCAAGGAGGAAAATATAACTATCTGAGCAAGAATTTGAAATTGTTGTAGGGCTAAGCAAGGACTCTTGTAAGCGAAATGGAGATTTTTGGTCAGAGTCTTGTGAATTATAGGAGAGATTATAATTTAATGTCAACAAGACCACAAGCGTAAAATGGAAAATGCTATAACCTTTTTGAGAGGCTCAGATATTCAAGAAGACAAAATGAAATAATAGTGGACGATATCTTTCACATAAAGGATAAAAGATAAGCGAATTGCAAATCATTTGTTGAACAACCCAAGAATTCTTCTCAGCAATTCAAAATTTAACTTCACCTACACAGCCATACAACTCTACTCGCATAGATACTCCACCAATCCAACTTGAGGGTCGGAAACGGATGTATCTTGCCCTGATTGGTGAGGAAAGGTTATGATACACAACGGTGTCTTGGTCGATATTTCCAGCAAAAACAAAAACAAAAAAAACAAAAACCGTTGATACGCGTGGGTGAGTTGCAAATTACTCTGTGATAAAAGCAGGGTAGAGATGGTAGGTTCTTGTAACCCCTTGGCCAACCGGTATTTTTCTCTGAAAGTGCTTGTCTCATTCAATGTTGTTGATAGCCTACATTGCAGGATTGGTATTCAGGTTTGTACCCTGTCACACCTCAGTGACCTTAGTGTCAACAGCTTGCCTTTGGAGCAGGGAGGCTCAGTTTACATTGCAAAAACTTGGTAGCTGTATCATCTCATATATCAGGTAGTATATATGCTACCCTCGCCGGCATCTATTTCAACACAGTATGGAGCCAATGAACCTCAAAGACCATTTTACCATCTTAACGAAATGCAGGAGTAATCTTGACTGCCTGCCTGACATATCAAAGTCATATATCAGAAACCTTAGGCCAGTAGTCAATACTCAATCAGAACAAAACTGTCTGTTAAAAAACACATTTTCCTTATAGTCACATGTTTTGTCACTGTAATTACTTTGCCACTTTATGCGCATAATATTATTGTAGATCTTTTATCATGCAAACACTTAGCTGAACATTTAATTTACAATGACTTCCGACCATGACAAAACTTCTTTTATTGCATTTTCTATCTTTTGTGCTAAAAATATTCCATTACGCCTTACTTATAAGATAAAGGGGTAAGTTTCTAAAGAAACTGTGGTGCTGCGTCGGTGGGAGAGTATAGCAGGTAATTTAGTGTTAACAACTGGGTTGAAAACGTAAATTAGCCACCGTAAAGAGTAAAAAAGCGGACGTTTCGAGCGTTAGTCCTTCGTCAGAGCGAGAATGATAGATTTAACTGCGTGGTTGTGAGGGTGAAATGAAATTAAATCTATCATTCTTAAAAATTTTAAATTACTCCAAAACGATTCAGAGACTGGTACTATCTTTTCGCAACCCCCACTTATTTCATTCAAACGTGACAAAAACATAGGCAACTTTTTAGTCAGGAGTTCATTTCAAACCAACGACCAATCTGGAACTTTTAAATGCGCTCGCTCACGATGCAAAACTTGTCCTTTCATTCATAACGTAGAGAAAATATCGGGACCCAAAAGATCCATTAAGATCATTGATCACTTTACGTGTACCTCCGCCAATGTTATTTACTGCATAACTTGCACTTATTGCAATAAGTTATACATCGGCGAGACAGGAAGACGACTGGGTGACCGACTCCGAGAACACCTTCGCGATGTGGAAATAAATGACAAGGACACATCCAAGCCAGTCGCTAGACACTTTAATCTTCCTTATCATTCTAAACAGCATATGGCAGTTTGCGGCCTTTCCTTACATCTAGGCAGTTCGGAAAGCCGTAAAACACTAGAACAAAAATTTATATTTCAAATCGGCACCCTTAATCCCCAAGGAATCAACGAGCGCTTTTCATTCTCACTAATTTATTCCTGTTTTCTCGTCACCATATTCCCACCAATGGCGTAGCTCCACTTTCTATATATAAATCCACACACAACCCACAATTCCTCTAATCGCTCTGACGAAGGGCTAACGCTCGAAACGTCAGCTTTTTTACTCTTTACGGTGGCTAATTTACGTTTTCAACCCAGTTGTTAACACTAAATTACTTACTTATAAGATACACTTACCTAAAAATAAACATTCAATAATATCTACGCTTGGTAGAAAAGCCAGATATAATTTCAGTGCAAGAAAACTTAGCTAAATTATACAGTAAAACATCTCTGCACTCAGAGATCATATTTTGATTTCTTTTCCGAATCACGCACCGAAGGATTTATCATTACTAACAAAAGGTAAGTTAAGTCATTCTCCTCTTTCAAATAATCAGCCTCCATGTACTCTGTTCGTCGAGTGAGAAAAATTAGTCGTTTTTCAGCTTTTAACATTCGTTCCTCTGTACATTGAATAATACTTTCAGAATTCAAACAAAATGGCTCTACTTCAGAAAGGCACATGTTGACAAATATTGTCTCATCACAAAACAACTTAAACTCAGTCCGATTACTTCCCTCGTGGAAAATGTCCATTAAACGCTCCTCAATAAAACGTGCCATTTCAAGCTCTTTTGCATTTTCCTCTGCGTTTGATTTTGCGTCACCGTATGATTCGTTGAGGACAGAAACAAGCATATTCATAAGAAATATAGTTGTGGATATACAAAACAAAAATGCAAACGTCGGACCAATGAAGGGTCTGTCCCTTCGAAGAGCGTCCATTGGGACTGCTTTTCCTAACAGGAATTCGAATTGAGACATGACTGCATCGAGATAACTGGAATATTCTAATACTACACCACCGAAAAACTGCATACCTGTTATAACAAATGCATTAAACACGATCAGAAAAAAGAGCACATACGAGAGTTGATAGCCTATAGATTGGCGAAAAGATGAAAACAAATATATTACGTGTGGGTTAAAACGAATCAGATTCAGAAGCTTGACTGTCACCAAGAAAACAGCGACAGCAATAGACGCATTTTCCAGGTTAAGCCAATTCAAGGCTGTGTGGAAATGCACGATTTCATATGGATTGGCTTGAATAGATTTGATAGTGTTCAAAACGCTTTTAGCTCTGATCATGTAAAATGCTACAGAGGCTACAGAGAAAATTATCATAAAGAAATCCACCATATTCCAAACAGACTTGAAGAAACCTAAACGTTGTTGATAAAGGTGAGCTAACATAACTATGAAGTAGAAGAGAACCATCGCCATGAACAGAAACTGGCCAATTAAGAAAAACATCAGAGCTCCTGACTCAGTGCTGTACAACTCCAGTGTTTCAATTCTCCTTGTAGTGTAGGCTGCACCAGTAGCTATGGCCTCGTAAAAGTATGTGGCAACGCTAATCAAGTTTGTATTGACATTGAAAACAGCAAACTCTAGAATTACAGCTCGAGTTTGGCGATCAAGCCATCCATTAGTAATAGTCTCGTCGAGGACGCCTTGTGCAGTGCTTTCATCGTATCCCATGACTGCTGCATAACCACCCCCTTCATAAGAGTTGTACGACGCTAGAATAGGGTCGTTGCGAAGTTCTGCTGCTGATTGATATCGCCAGGGCCTGGGGCAAATTTGGAGAGCATCAGGCCACGAAGTATTGAGGGAGAGAGGTATCCAACCTGGAAGGCTTAGAAAAGTCGTGTCCTCATTTTCTGGAGAATAGTCGTAATAACAATCTGCTATCATTTTCGAGAGCGATCTACAGGAATCTTCAAGTGAAAATAAAAGAAAAGTGAATAAGTTACTTTAAGATTTGCAGTTTTGATAAAAGATGATAAAGTGAAACAGAGAAAAAGGAAAAATGCTAAGAAAAAAAAGCACGCCGGTGAAGTTTCTCGATATCGGGTTGACGGTTGTTGTTCTAAAATTGCTTTTGAGTCAAGTCATAAGTAGAGAGTGTATGTTCTTTTCATGCCCCTACTCCATTTCATAGCGCCTCAAGTAGTATAATTTGCTGTGTTAGTTACCAGCCTTTTGATTTCCAGATCACTAGACATGCACTAACTAGTTATCGGAATTGATTAAGTCACTATGACATTTTCCTATTTCAATTGTGTAAAAGAATTGAAACGCACTTTTCAATTGCAGATTAGAGATTTTTTGTACAAAGTTTGAGGCTCCCTTGTGTACATCGTTACTATGCAAATAGTCTTTTGCGATAACCTGTCTGTTTATAAAAATGATATATTCTGATCTAAGTTTACCTTTTTTAATTCTGAGTTGTCGCAACCAGGGCATTCCCACTAATATCGACATCTTGTTCCCGACGTACACATCGTTTTTCTCTTCGAGTCGGTTGTACCACGCTTGGTTATAAATGTTTAATATGAATTCATTCTTTAACCATGCCTCTAAACTGTGCGCATCCTTTACCTAGAATATAGAATTAGATATTATAAAATAAATACATTAAGATTCAAGGAACCGATAAGAGGACAGAATGTGCAACTCGCATGATTATTAAACAAACGAACAGGTAGAGATAAAGCAATAAATCAAAAGACTGGAACAAAGTGAGAGGGGAAAGAGACTCACTGCCAATCTTAAATGCAAGTCACAAACAATGAATAACAAAGGAATAACTGAGGAATTCGGAAACTTCCTCGGCACTTAAAAGCAAACGTTAATCTGAAATCCATAGTAACATGGCTACTACTTTTTTGAAAAGGTAAAACTCATTATATCATTTTAATTTTCCAGAAAACTGCTCCGGTACAGATATATGTGTCTTTAATTACCCTTCTCACTTGCCATCCTTAGGTAGGGTATTGCGACCGACTTTGATAGCTATTTCTCTGTTAAACATCCACGAGTCTGTAATCTTTCATTGATATAAGGATCGATTGCCAGGAGAAATAGCTTTTGAATACTGCGAAATATTTCACAACTGCAAACAAAAAGCATTTTTATTCATCAGGAACCATAATCTTACCAGATTAAACTTAGTGAATCGATTTCTCATCTCAGTTGTCATCAGAAAACGGTTTCCATTCTTGTTTCCATAAGATACGATAGCCAGAAGAAACACAAATATTAAATGCAGAATAATGTCTCTTGTCACCCTTGTTAACTGAGCTTCTTTTTTAGATCTCTCCCTCATCTTTTCCCGCTGATATTTCTTAAAGCACTGTTTGGGATCATCGCCCGAGAAATCGATCTCAATTGCGTGTGAATCGATAGCAGTCTCTTCTTCTTCATCGCATTTGCCTCTGTTCTTTCTTGTCAGGAGAAAGGAAATAACCATGACTGCTATCATAACCTTGGTGGGCTGTACAACGAAAATATCTTGTCCATTGGAAATTAGAATAGAAGCAAGCCACTGTTCAGAGGTTTCCTTTCCCCACATTAAACTGTAAAACAGCGTAAACGTTGCTGCTGCTATTGTCGTACAGAAGCAGAGAAACCAGCCCAAATAAACAAAGAAATGAGGAAGCATACAACCGGTGTCCGTTATTTCATCCAAAAGTCGTTGGGCCTCGTCTGTAACTTTGTATTTGTCACTCCCTTTTTTCCTCGGGCTGCTAGACTTAAACAGGAAGGCAATCATTAAGTTTATCGGTGCAATGATAATGCCACTTTGTACTCCGATGACTATCTGTCTCCAAGAAAACTTAAAAGGCCCAACCTGTATAGCACCATCGGATTGACCACCAATGTTATAGAACATGGCATTTGCTATCATTGCACTAAACAGAACTGAAAGGCAACATGAAGCTCTTTGCACACGTGTAAAGGTACTACTACATGCTTTTCCAAACACTGAGAACCACAAGTGACTGTCGGCAACTTTTCTGGCAAAGCGCGAACGAACCTGATCTGAGAAGGCAGAGTAAGATTTGCTGTCCACGGTAACTTCTATTTGGCCGTCGTCTTTTTCCAACGCAAGCCACCTATTTATAGGGAAAACCCACCTTTCTTCGGTCTGACGGTCTTGGATAACTACGCTTTCTACAAACCAAGACGGATTATCACCCGAATTATCGTGTTCCAAAATAATTTCTTTTAAAGGGCCAATGGGTTCTTTCATTACGAGCACAAAGCCGTTGATACTCCCACGTCCGAAAAGCTCGCTCCACTCCCCTTTCTCCCTCAATGGAATTTGACTCTGCTCATAATTTTCGCCCTTGATGCTGATGGTTATGTTGGCTGTTGTTGCTGAATGTTTCCAAACGCCGGTGCTTATAACCATATCGTAATAATAGGCCCCTTCCTTCACAAGCGGTATCAATTTGGGTGGGCAAACCTGGAAAAAAGAAAACATTCGGAGATGAAAATAATTCGAAATACACGACTATAGGTTGAAATATGATTACCTTGTCTACATCTCTCTTGTCGGCCCTCCTTGCAAAGATTAAGACAACGAAGTACAGAAGGAAAAAACAGGCAATTGTCACAAGTACTGAAATATTGCCACTTTCAGCAAGGTTTGAAAACTCAGTAAAAACTTTGTCGAAGTCAATTGGGTTTGGTGCTTGGATGAAGTTTCCACCAAAAGATGTTAAATGATTGCAGAGACATTTAAGATGGGTGGTGTTCGAGTCTTGGCTAACCTTTAACAAAAAGGAAAAAAATTAATTATTCGAAAGAAATGAACACTATATGGTGCATCAGTATATCGCTCACATGGGATTGGTGCTTTTCCTGTGCGTTGATTAGCTGGTTCGAATGCAAATAGCAAGTACTATCCATCTCCGAGCGCGAGTCAAGAGTTCAATTTTGTACCATTTTTTTTGTATATTGAAAGAATAAAACTACTTTTTTGTATCGATGTGGTATATATTAAAAAATTATTCACTTCGACTTCTGAAAATGATTGTTTTCAAACTAAACTCAAATTAAATTAGAAAAGGGAATCCCTAGCTGAGTTGGTGAATTGCTTTATTAATGAACCCTGAGACCCGTTCGACACAAAAGAGAAGACATAAAAACATATATTTATAGCCAATTTGCATCCAGTTGTTAAATCTGAAATGTTTATATCAACAACTCCCTCCCATAGATATGTTAAGAATGACTAATCGGTTGCCATCGTCATTGAGAGGTGTAAACAATAACGACTGCATGAGTGATTTTACTCAGTAAAGCTTACTTAGCAGTAGAAAAATTAAGAAATGATTAATTTTTACCCGGCAACCTTCCGCGGTCCACTTTTCTGTGTTCTCTGACCAATACAAACAACTCGACTGGGTGATGGTCAAAGTGTAGTTAACGTCTGTGTTTGAATCATATTTCGGAATCACAGTGCTGAGAGATCCTTTTGGCGGTGGATCTTTAACGCCCACACATGACCGTCTTTCACGACGATTTCCAAAACAGGACCTTCTTTGCCTAGAGCGTTGACTTTCATTTTTAGGGTTTCTAGACAATAAGCCCGCGTAGAGGAAACCTGGCTTAGAAGGCATCACTGTAACCGAGCTATCTCTGATAAAGCAGGTTGCATTAGCATCTGTTTGGTTGTCACATGTAGATGTGAACGCCATTGTAAAATTGTGGTCAAAGTCATTTATCGTTGGTCTTTTTCCAAATTTTATGAACAGACTGATTTGTATTCCTGCTTTGGTTGTACCCAACTTAAGAGATACAGGAACATTGGCTAGTTCTGCGTAATAACTTCGAACTGAAATCTGATTTGGCTTAAGAAAGCTATGCTGTGTCCCGTTGGTGGAGTTCTGAGGTGGACTAAAAATGGGAATCAAGATCTCAATGTCATTGTCAAGATTTGAAACATTTATCTTTTCCGCGCTATTACTTTTAAGCTCAAGACTCGTGACGCTTGATTTGATTTTCTTGCTGCTATTGTCCCAAGTGAAAGGGTTAAAATCAACAGCTTGCATCTGAAAGAGAACACAATATGGTATTGGTAAATTTATTTGACAAGGGTGATTCCGGGAGTTTTGCTCGCGTAGAAAAAAATCGAAATTATTGAGTAAAAATGGGTACAGGAAAGTGTAGTTACCAATTAAGGCTGCGATTTTTAGAATAAGAATGGCTAACTAGGATAATAATGGCATCATACCTTTGCATTTATCTCTCCACCACCTATATTCCCAAGGCTGCTCGGGAGCTTGAATTTACTTGATCCATCTCCCATGCTGAGTCCTTTTGCATCATTAGCTGTGACCTTTTTCAGGGATATTGCCAAGTTTGGAGTCTTTAAGAGCAGATCTTCTGATGAAACCAAGCGGCCAAAAAATGCATCGCACACGTTGCTTAGTTTTTCGGAGGCCTTTTTCACGAACTGAGAGGAAAGTCAAAGAATGTTGTTTAGTCAAATGATTTCGTGGTTAATACGACGACTTTTCCACTTTATTAAAACTAATAGAATCGTAATACACTATTCTTCTTCGGTGCGTTCATGGTCTCGCCGTTTTGTTCGCTTAATGTAAAGTCTATCTATTTAAATTGACCCATCCTGAATTGGTGGCAAAAACGAAACTGATCTCTGTGATAGCCATACTTGTAACTGTACTAGTGACCTTTACCTCTGGTGAGGGTGGGGTTACTGCCGAGACTATGTCGTCCTGACTCGAGCCCGCAGCGGACTTGAGAACATTCGTGAGGCAACCTGTAACACTTGAAGCTGTTTTTTCTAATTCCGGTGTGAAAGGCTGCTCCGGATCGTTAAGGGTGGAAATCATCATATTTGCTGTACTATCAGTCAATTGCATCGTTAATTCCTAAAGAGAATAACACCAATGCGTCGTGTACTTCATTGGAATTAAAATTGTAAGGAGAGATTGGTGGATTGTATAATTTAGACCATTGGGAAATCAGGTGCATGTATGATTTCAAAATACCAATAAAGAATTACTGAGGAATTATAGAGCTTTCTTTTATTACGATTCACCTGGGAGGATAAGCTTGTTGCCTATCTCGGTTACAGATTAAAATATTTCATTCATTTTCGATCGGATGCATCGTTTTCGGGAAATAATCTGTCACTAATGGTTATCATCCTTGGGTTTAAACTTTAATTTATGTTAAGAAAAGGATTTAAAAGAAAAAAAAAGGCGTCGTACCATATTGTTATTGTTACTGTTACCGCTACCGTCACTGCAGCTCTCGCATTTTTGTTGAGCCTCCAGTCCCATGGCTAAGCTTACTACTGACATAATCAAGCGAGACATTTCAAGATTCTCTGGTGTTATGGCTGTAAACTTTGATATCAATGTGTTGGAAATCTAGCAACAAGAAGAAATGGTGCGCCTCATTAAAAAATCGAAAAGGCTTTAACTGCGTCTGTTCTGTTGTAAAGCACGCAGAAAGCGGCTAGAACACGAAAGAAGTGACAGGATCCTTAGGTTTGGCAAAAATACGCCCCAAAGTCTGTAAAGGTTTTTTAACAACTTTAACCGGTTGCGGCTATTCAAAATCTCTTGATGGGTTCCGTAACATCCTGAATGTAAGGAATAGAAGCAAAACCAGTCGCTGGTTCCCTTTCATTAGGAGAGCTACTAGTTGTCACAGGTTTTTGGCAGTTACGGAGAAAAGTTTTTGTATAGCCATTCGCCTTTAAGACATTAGAAACATATCTCCTCTCCTCCATCTAGACAGTCAGCCCTCCTGAGTAAAGTTTTGGCTACAGACTAGTGACAGACTACGGACAAATCCAGCAGACAAACTTTTGGCTACAGACAAATCCGGCCGAATTGTGGCTCATAAAAGCACGCAAGTTTTTTTTACATGTCAAGTAGAAAACAAACTGCCTGATGCGTGTGTTTTATGATTGAATATCAGCCGAATTCACCGGAACATGAAGATTGCTCGGGATGACGGCGCCGTAAAACTCGGCTGTTTTTATAGATGCGGCCTTCCACTCAACGCATCCACTCAACGTATCGGAAAGGATATCAGAACAGGGTTTTAATTATTCACTCGAATGAGGCTGATGTAATTTCTGAGGCTTGCTTCACTGCGATGTTAGGTCTTTTTTTTCATCATTCCTATTTTGTTTTGTTTTGTTTTTTTAAGACGAAACTCTATATGTCGTACAAGTGTTACATGCTTTTTATTTTTCGTACCGTCCGTAAGCTTGCGATCTAAGCGTGAAAAACTTATAAAATGGCTCATTGCATATAGAAATCTGCTATTTGTCAGTCAAGAGGAGAGCGAGCAAGCTACACGGTTCACTAGTGAAAATAATGATATAGCCAATCAGAGGGTCGATACGTCGTTTTTCACTAGTAAAAAATATCCTATGATCAATCAGCTGGTTTCTCTGACGCGAAGAGACTATTTTTTTCTCGATGCTTTTTGGCGCGTAAATCTCGGTATGTATATAATAAGAAACAACATTTAACTCTGAAAGTTTGAGTTTTCTTGCCGACTACATTTGAGCAATTATTTTTAACGTACCAACGCTTTGTCCTTAGGGTCCAATTCTTGTCCACATTCACTTTTTTCGTTTGCAGACTTTAAAACAGATAAACCAAGTTGAACAGCCTGGCTGAGTTCACCCTTGTTGAGAAATTCATCCAGCTTGTTATTTTCCCCGACTATAAAACCTTTTAACTTGATTGCAACTTCGTCTGGTGCTGAAACACATGGATCAAGGCCAGATGATGGCTTTACCTGCAAGAGATATGTGAGATACATTTCTTGACTGAAATATCTTGTTGGCGTTTAAGACAAAATTCGGTGGCATTATTGGATCCGAGCGGCGATGAGATAGATATATGTTATTTGCCGGCTGGGAGGTCCGTGTGGTGAAAAACTGTGACCGAGGTCTTGAAAATACTGCCCGAGGCCGTAGGCCGAGGGCAGCATTTTCAAGACCGAGGTCACAGTTTTTCACCATACGGACCGACCCTTAGCCGGTAAATAACATATTTATTGTTTTTAAACTTGACGAAATTCTTTCCGAAAGAACCCGAAGGATTTATGGCCGTAAATACGGCAAGATCTTCCATAAACTGAACAATTTTTGAGTGAGTAAATGGTAGTTAAAACAGAGGTGATGCAAATTTAAGAGAGATGCCTCAGCGAAACATTTTCATATCCATAACGATAAAGGTGATTTAAAAGGCTTCCAAACAAACTTTGAAACATTATTTTTACAAGTATCTGTCACAATCTGACACCTGTCAATTAGAGAGCGCGCAAGAAAAAAAAAGGGTAGGAACATTTGAAAACCAACAGAACTTAGTTTGGCAAGGACTGTCACGACAATGTTTTCTTCAAAATCAGTTAATGATCTAACGGAAAGTATTATTCAAACTCATCGACCATTCATTCATGTACGAAGAATTACCTCTGTTCATTAAGTAAACGGCGAGGAAAGTAATTGTGAGTAAATTCAATTTTTTTATTTTGAAGTTGTGAGAGTTTGCTCGTTTGTTTGCTGTAATGGCGTGTTTAACTCTGATCTTTCCTTCACAAAAACTAAATTCGAACGGCACACTCCAACGAGACACAAGGGAATGTAATGCGACCTTTTCTCAAAAAATTCCTTCATTTTCTGTTGTGCAATTTAAGGTACAAATGTTCAAATTGAACGGAATTGGAAAGACTCACCAGGAGCGTATATTTGTTGTAGAACTTAAATTAAAACTTGGCTCGCTCTTTCACTATGAACAAATTGCTCGAGAAAATTCAGATATTAAATGAATGAAAGTTCCATCGTTCAGTTTAACTGTAACCAAATACCTCACGTTTCAACTTTCTGGGTACTTTTTGTGAACGATTAAAATTAATTCCAGACGGTTTTTAGGCCGCTTGTCAACCAACGTAATGACACTATTGTTTCATTCTGAAACCAATATTTTTCTGTCAACCAAAGTGATTTGATAGAGAGAAAAGAGAGGATTCATAAGTTATTTATCGGCTTGAGGTAGTGACCGAAGTGTTTGCTTAAAAATACTGCCCAGCCGGAAAACGAGGTATGTTTATGAAAAATGACAACGAAAGTTGGGATGTACTCGGCGACTCACGAAAGCGTTACCGTGGCCCGTGGGCAGAGATAGGAAAATACTGACCGGGTAAAGAACCAATCAGATTGCAAGATTCGTTACCGTGCCCTCTAAAAAAACAATAAAATTGGATATTAAAAGGCTAGCGAACACATAGTAAGGATTATGCCATTTTGAAACAGTTTCTAAACAGTGTTTATGAATTAAATTGGAAAATGCAAAGATTTAATTGACGTTTTCATGAGTCGCGTAAATAGTTATTTCATCGAAAAATTCCCCCGTATAGAAACAATTGCTGTACCTTGATGAATAATTTCTCTACAACGGATACTCCAACCGCATTCCTAATGACAATAGTGACTTGTTGGTGGAAATCTTCGTTCGGCGATCCTGCAGGTAACACTGTCGACACGGACGAGGGTGACGTGCCATAAGATATAGGCGCCTCTCCAAGTGCAAATTCATATGTCAGTGGTAGGCTTGTATCCTGCCAATCGAAGCACTTAAAAGTAAACTCAGTATCCAGTGAGACGCCTTCAGAGACCGACGGCGCGCAGTAACCATTATGCGGCTCTCCAGCGGTTTCAAAGAGGAGCACAGAAAGCCCGTATGCTCCTTTCAAAGATGTAACCATTAATGTTAGATTATACTTCGATTTGGATTCTAATGAATTTTTCTTGATTATCATATTGGTAGAATTTACAGCCGTTGAAGTCATGTTTGGTAAAATAGGTATATTTTCCCAACTGTCTGAACCCTTTAGTATGGACAGACGCCATTCGTAGACGGATCCATTGCAAGGAGAATTAAGACACTCTGATGTCACCCGGAGCTTGTTTGAAGCAGACACTACTGCGGCACAATCTATAAAGCATCTAAGGAAAAAAAAAACAGAAAGGCATTAACAACTTACGAGAAGCTGTAAAATCAATTGCAAGAAAATGGGACTTAACTAACAGAACTCCAGGGCATCAATTACAGAAGTGAAAGCACAGCTTTACTAGATTGGCGAGTTGCCCTTTCAAACCACCACCTGCATGTGTTGAGTAAAGCTAGTCAATGTTAGTTTCGGGGTGGTTTTAGTAAAGCAAGACTAGCCTTTTAGAGTTATGCCGCTAGATACAGGTTAAGCTAGTTTAGAGAGTAAAATACTCATTTCAATGTAAAGCACTCTACCTTTTTTTTTTAGCAGCATTATCTCCTTTACTCTTTCATTGAAACGCTGCATACCATTCTTAAGGTCTCCCTCCCCACCATAAGCACGTTTGCTTCCGAAAACTTTTGTTTCGATGACTAAAAGCAACCTTTTTTTTGGACTATCCACATTTGTAAGAGCTTTCCTTTCCCGATTCCTTGAGTATTGCATTTTCTATAGTTAACTGTTAATGCTTCATAACAATTACCTCAGGGTCACCTGTGGTACCTCTCCTGCAGCTATCGTAAAGGACATTTCGGCAAAGGAACTTCTCACATCCTTGGAGACATTCAGCCGTAGGAAGAAGGTCTTATCGATCTCAAGTTTACTTGGATCAATGGTAATGATTGCAGGGTTTGAGTCTCCTTCGTTTTGAAAAGAACCGAAGCAAGTGTTGCTTACAAAAGTATCACTCCGACAGGACCAACTGAAATTGAGCCCGGTATGTATTCCAGGGCCAATGTCTGCGTCGTAACTTAAAGAGCCATCCACGGTGACGTTTTGCTTGGACCCCCACCGTACACTGCTTCCTCCATCAAGAATAGCTCGCACGGGAGCCGCAATAACCTCGATGAAGCCATAATCAAAGGCGTTAAGAACTTTTGGGGATGCTGGATCTCCGATTGCAAGTGTAGCATTGAATTTCACTTGATAGATACCAGCAGGTATGGATCGTTTGTTTATCGTCCACTCCGTTGTCCCTTGACTAACTATAGTTCCTAATGCTGACTCCGAGGCACCTAACTCCATTTCGCTAACCACACTCCATTCAAAGGTACTTGTCAATACGGTTAAATCTTTATTTAGGCCCAGTATCAGGGCTTCGCGGACACTTTTGACTGAGCGCTGCACAGGTGTGGCCTGATATTTGTCTTTTGAAATGTTTCTAATAGTCACTGAGAAATCTCCTGAGGATGATATAGTTTACAGAGTTTTTGCATCATTTTTCCCCCTCACAGAAAAACAAACGTTTTTAATATGGGTTTAATTCCTGATGAATTCACTTTTTTTTGTAAAAATCTGAAATAGCCCTATGATTTACATTTCAACGATCGATAGATGAAATCTTGCCTTTTACGGTACACAGACAATAAAAGGATCGTGATAACAAGTTATCAGCTAAATATTATTTTACTGAAATTTGACATAATTCTTACCAACAGGTTCACATGATATCCCATCGCCAATGTAGTTTTTTCGGCACTCACAGCTGAAGGATCCTGGATTGTTAAAACAGTGAGCAACTCCATGACAGTTATGAGTTGATAGTGCGCATTCGTCGATATCTAGAGAATCATAGGAACGAGCATGAATTTCGAGTATTTTAATTGTACAGGTTGCACCAATGAAGCTTTTCATCAGTTGCATTGAACTCACAAAAAACTCTCGTCCTTAAACCTATCAGTGCATTGCCATAGAGAACGACAGGCAACGCCTACTTGTGTTACCTGAACACGGAAACATCTCTCACCTACACAAGTTGTGCCATTTCCTTTATACCCTGCAATGCATGTACAGTGAAAAGATCCAACAGTGTTGCTACAAACAGCCAGTGGGTCGCAGTTGTGCACATTTGTAGTACATTCGTCGATATCTAAACGAAACAAGAAAATAGCTGGGGCTAAAAAAGAAACGCTTGAAGCGTTTAAGACACAAGTGGTTATCAAGGTAAAATGTACCCGCTCTGTGGCAAAAGCAGTTCAGTTAAAAAAAACTTCTTCAGCTATCAAACTTCAAACTAGTGAATTTTCCCTGGTACTCCTTCTTGTAGCGACATGTGAAATGTGGAGAAGGTAACGTAAAACTTTTACGAAAGTAGCCTTAGTCACCGTGTATTTTCAATAACATTCCTCTCGTTTTCCATCCTGTGGACAGAAAATCCTTTATGACCCAAAACACGACGCACGGTTGTGTAGCTTTATATTCACGTGATAATACACATTTCAACGAGCAGTACGTACCCAGACAGCTCACACCGTCTCCTGAGTACCCATTGAGGCAAGTGCAGTTATATGAGCCAAAAGTGTTGTTACACTGAGCATTTGCGTGACAGTTGTGTTTCTCATCCTGACATTCATCTTCATCTAAGCAGAAATAGCAATTGTGGAAACAAAGTCATCCCATTCTTGAGTATAATCACCATCAACAGGCTGGTGCAGATTTCACTATTGTTATGAAAATCTAATACACTTGAAAATGTTTACTTGAAATAAGTGAGAAAACAGAATAAAGATTGGATGTAAATTTAACCAGCAGTCAACTCCATGACAGTTATGAGCTGATATTGCACATCCGTCGATATCTATAGAATCTTGGGAACGAGCATGAATTTTGAATAGTTTAATTGTACAGGTTGCACCAATGAAGCTTTTCATCAGTTGCATTGAACTCACAAAAAACTCTCGTCCTTAAACCTATCAGTGCATTGCCATAGAGAACGACAGGCAACGCCTACTTGTGTTACCTGAACACGGAAACATCTCTCACCTACACAAGTTGTGCCATTTCCTTTATACCCTGCAATGCATGCACAGTGAAAAGATCCAACAGTGTTGCTACAAACAGCCGATGGGTCGCAGTTGTGCACATTTGTAGTACATTCGTCGATATCTAAACGAAACAAGAAAATAGCTGGGGCTAAAAAAAAAAAAAACGCTTGAAGCGTTTAAGATACAAGTGGTTATCAAGGTAAAATGTACCCGCTCTGTGGCCAAAACAGTTCAGTTAAAAAAAAACTTCTTCAGCTATCAAACTTCAAACTAGTGAATTTTCCCTGGTACTCCTTCTTGTAGCGACCTATGAAATGTGGAGAAGGTAACGTAAAACTTTTACGAAAGTAGCCCTAATCACCGTGTGTTTTCAATAACATCCCTCTCGTTTCCATCCTGTGGACAGAAAATCCTTTATGACCCAAAACACGACGCACGGTTGTGTAGCTTTATATTCACGTGATAATACGCGTTTCAATGAGTGGTACGTACCCAGACAGCTCACACCATCTCCTGAGTACCCATTGAGGCAAGTGCAGTTATATGAGCCAAAAGTGTTGTTACACTGAGCATTTGCGTGACAGTTGTGTTTCTCATCCTGACATTCATCTTCATCTAAGCAGAAATAGCAATTATGGAAACAAAGTCATCCCATTCTTGAGTATAATCACCATCAACAGGCTGGTGCAGATTTCACTATTGTTATGAAAATCTAATACACTTGAAAATGTTTACTTGAAATAAGTGAGAAAACAGAATAAAGATTGGATGTAAATTTAACCAGTAAAGATACCTGCATATTCATGCAGATATCCAAAGAGGTTTTAAATGAATTCATCAATGAATCATTAATAAAAGTAAAATGTTTAAAAAACAAACAGACCATTTAGAATACACTGAACACATAAAAGCATAAGTAAACGCCACACACAGCTGTTTTTAGTATGACCCATCATATTCATGCTTACCTAAACCAAGACGTTTCACTTTATTTATTTGCTCTGCTGTTAAGGCTACGTCATAAAACTGTATGGCAGCAATTCTTCGATCCTTTGCTCTAACACCAACTCTGACGTTATCCTGTGTACCTAGCGTTATGCCGGCCCCGATATTCTTCTCTAGTACTCTCACTCCATTAGCCCATAGACTTGCCATTCCAGTCGTATAATCGTAAGAAGCACCGACATAATGCCATTGGTGCGTCACCAAAGACTGATTGGTCAACAACGAACCCCATGGAGATAAGTACTCTCTGTTTCTGAAGTCGGCGTAAAGTTTTCCAAACAATATCCAAAAGCAAACGGACCATTTACCACTTGGGTTGTAAATAATAACAGGCGCAAAGTTTGCATTTTCAGGATACAGCCAACATAACAGTGTGATGGAGTGTTTCAAGTCTAATCCCCCATCGTTTGGGAACTCGATGTAGCTGTTTGGATGCCCGGAGAATTGGTAAGAGCCACCTATGTCACCATTCGGACCTGTCGCTAAGGATACATCTCCACGAATGCCTTGGGGTTGTTTATTAGTGATCTCCCTTGTTTCAAAGAAGCTGTTTAAAGGAAAAATGGCTTTTGCTTCTGGGATAATGGTGCCTGCAAGAATAGTCATTAATGAGCTAACTTAGTACTTTGCAGATTGTAGTTTTGTCAAATGCAATATTGGCAACTAAAGACTGCTACCTAGTGTAAAAGCTCTTTTCTCCATATTAATAGATTGCAATAGTAAACTTTTGTCAGTAGTGTCTTGGTAATGCTTTATAAAGCGTGGAAGATCTGCAGGTAATTCTTCGACGATTGTTCCACTGAAAACACAATTGTAACGGCAAATTCTTACGTTGTAAAATAAAGACGATAGATACCAAGCAAGAAAAATACGTCTACTTAACAAATAGAGAAGCCTTGACTGTGCTCTGTTCTGTTATAAAGCACGCAGGAAGCGGCTAGAGCACGAAAGAAGTGCTTTATAACAGAACAGAGCACAGTCAAGGCTTCTCTATTTGTTTTATAATAAAGAATCCGTTAAATTATCCAAGCATTACTTTCAATTTTTAAAACAAACTTTATCTCCAAAGCCAACAACAATGTCGTCAGCATGCTCTATACTCTCATAAAGCACGCCACAATAAGCCAATCAGAATCCTTGTTAGAATGGTTAAAATAATCTGATTGGCTGTACAAGACTAAAGCTGTCAAAAGTGTCAAACCATCAAAGTTCAAAAACCATCAAAGTTCACATTCTACGATAGTTTACAAACTAAAATAGTTCGGCAAGTCGAATTTAACACTTTTGCCTGAAGTTTTTAAGTCTCTAATACAGAATCTTGAAGTGAAATGTTCAGTGAACTTCAGCCGAATTATGGCTCATAAAAACACGCGAGTTTTTTCCACATGACAAGGTAGAAAACAAACTGTTCAGGGCGAGTGTTTTTTGAATGAACGACAGCCGAATTCACCGGAACATGAAGATCGCTCGTGATGACAGCGCCGCAAAACTCGGCTGCAGTGACTGATGTGAATTGCCACTCAACGTACCGGAAAGGATATCAGAGCAAGCTCTTATTTTTTCACTCGAAGGGCGGCCGATATAGTTTCTGAGGCTTGCTTTACCGTGATGACCGGAGATCGCCATGATGAGCGAGCCGCGATGGACCTCAGCATGATCATATTCGGTCAGACACCGTCATGATTAGAATGAATTTTAACAATTATGCCAGTTTGGTTATATTTTTCATCATTTCTGTTTTGTTCTGTTTTGTTTTTGAACACTGAACTTTATATACTATACGAGTGTTAGCTGTGTTTGATTTTTATTATCGTACGTAAGCTTGCAATCTAACTGAGCGTGAAAATCTTTAAAACTCGGAATGTTTATTTTGTTTTTCCTTTGAGGATTTTCGTATCTGCTCACGTTTTAATAACGTAAATTACGGCGCCTGGTATGTTTACAAACCTTTGTTTGATTCTTCTGTTGCTACTTGCCGGCTCGCTTCAGTTCCGAAATTTCACTTTCAATTATCGGAAAAAAGCTAAAAAGAAGTCCCGGAAAAGGTCGAACATAGTACAATTGGTAGATGGCGTGACAGCTGTAGCTCAGCTCTTTCAACCAATGACAGCGCGCGTTATATCCGAACTTTATTATAAACTCTCATAGAGTGCGCTCTTTCAACCAATAACAGCGCGCGTTATATCCGAGCTTTATTATAAATAGGTTTTAGGAAGATAGATAACCCATTTCGGGCAACGCTCATAAAATATCCTAATCTCGAAAAAAAAAAACCCTGTGTCATATTACAGATTATTTTTTTTTGAGAGGGCACGGTAACGAATCTTGCAATATGATTGGTTCTTTACCCGGTCAGTATTTTCCTATCTCTGCCCACGGGCCACGGTAACGCTTTCGTGAGTCGCCAAGTACATCCCAACTTTCGTTGCCATTTTTCATAAATATATCTCGTTTTTCCGGCTGGGCAGTATTTTTAAGCAAACACGTCGGTCACTACCTCAAGCCAATGACTAGCTTATGAATCCTCTCTTTTCTCTCACTCAAATCACTTTGGTTGACAGAAAAATATTGGTTTCAGAATGAATTTGTACAAACAATAGTGTCATTATGTTGGTTGACAAGCGGCCTAAAACCCGTCTGCAATTAATTTTAATCGTTCAGAAAAAGTACCCAGAAAGTTAAAACGTGAGGTATTTGGTTACAATGAAACTGAACGATGGAACTTTCATTCATTTATTACCTGAATTTTCTCAAGCAATTAGTTCGCAGTGAAAGAGCGAGCGAAGTTTTAATTTAAGTTCAACAACAAATATACGCTCTTGGTGAGTTTTTCCAAGTCCGTTCAATTTGAACATTTGTACCGTAAATTGCACAACAGAAACTGAAGGAATTTTTGAGAAAAGGCGATGGAACTTTCATTCATTTAATACCTGAATTTTCTCAAATAATTTGTTCGTAGTGAAAGAGCAAAGTTTTAAATTCAGTTCTACAACAAATATACACTCTCGGTGAGTCTTTCCGAGTCCGTTCAATTTGGACATTTGTACCGTAAGAAAAGGCCGCATTAAATCCCCTTGTGTCTCGTTGGAGTGTGCCATTCGAATTTAGTTTTTTTGAAGGAAAGACCAGATTTACACACGCCATTGCAGCAAACAAACGAGAAAACTCTCACAACTTCAAAATAAAAAAAAAATTGAATTTACTCACAATTACTTTCCTCGCCGTTTACTTAATGAACAGAGGTAAATCTTCGTACATGAATGACTTGTCGATGAGAGTGAAAAATACTTTCCGTCGGATCATTGACTGTTTTTGAAGAAAACATTGTCGTGACAGTCCATGCCAAACTAGTTCCGTTGTTTTTCAAATGTTCTTACGCTTTTTTTTTTTACTTATGCGCTCTCTAATTGACAGGTGTCTGATTGTGACAGATACTTGTAAAAATAATGTTTCAAAGTTTGTTTGGAAGCCTTTTAAATTATGGTTACGGAAATGAAAATGTTTCGCTGAGGCATCTCTCTTGAATTTGCATTACCTCTATTTTAACTACTATTTACTCGCTCAAAAACTATTCAGTTTATGGAAGATCTTGCCGTATTTACAGCCCTAAATCATTCGGGTTCTTTCGGAAACAATTTCGTAAAGTTTCAAAAAAATAAATATGTTATTTACCGGCTAAGGGTCGGTCCTTATGGTGAAAAGCTGTGACCTTGGTCACAGTTTTTCACCATACGGACCTCCCAGCCGGCAAATAACATATATGTATCCTTTGGTACAAAATTACGCGAGAAAAACATACCTCCACTCCCTAAACCTCTACTAGTTACCAACATCAAGATTTGAACCTATAGAGAGAGGGATTTTTTGTTTTTTAGGTCAAAAAATACGTTTATCTCTCAATGTAACAGTCTAAAAAGGGAAACATTAAAAAATCAGTCTGCTCACCTTTAATAAAAGTAAGAGCCTTTGAAGATTCATCTTGTCTCTTCTTTATTCAAAACCAGGCAAAAGCATGTTACGTAATTATAGTTTCAGTACAGAATCCTCCTAATTATGATTTTCTTACTAACAGGAAAAATTTCCCTGCTGAGATTCTAGTGAAGGAAAAACAACTCATCAATTTTTTAATAAGGTTTGTTCAATGGCCATGGAAGCGCATATTCGAGCAATATAGGGAAATTAGTGGTAATATAAACAAATAGAAGTGCGAATAATTTTTCAGATTGAATGTAACAGGACATTTCTTTTTTACTTTTGTCCCACTTGTTGTTATGAAAAAGAATAATTTCTCAATACATCTCTTTCTTTACCTCCTCATGGAATTTTCATTGTTGATGAACGTGATCGCACATATTAGAGAGCTTAGGTATCCTACGGCTTTGCATCGATTCCACAAGCTTTTCTTTATTTATTCCTTTTGATGGTTTTTTGTTCTGGAACTGTTAACTTGACTATTGATTTTGTTCACAGTGTACGTATTGTACTCATTTTGTGCGATTGTGAATATGAACGAGAACCCCCCAACTGTAATATTATTTTTGTCACACTACCTAGGCCATGATTACATGGTAACTGCAAAGCTCATTAAATTATGAATAGATAGGCTTTCTTAGACACAGTTATTTTGGATATTCCAACAATGATAGAGGCGGGGGTTCATTAAGACAGTTTTCAATCAATACAGTCTTCTTCAAGAAATTCGTTGCCCAGGAATAAAATGACCTCAAATAATTTTATCTTTTAAGTTTAATGTACACATCCCAAAACGGGATTTCCTTCAAAATAAGAATCTTTTACTTTGATCCAAAAAATAACTTTTGTATGAGTGAGTCTAAATTCCCGTAGCGCTTGGAAAGGACTCAATGAGAAAATGCAAAAAAGCCAATCCGCACCTTTTTTCTTTACCCTATCCTTCGAGTCGACGTCACTGAAAAACACAACCTTCGTTGCTTTCTAAAACTTCTTAAAATAAAACGTATTGGTATTATTTTGTTCTACAAAAATTAGAAACGCGATGTGTTCTCACGTATGAGAGAATTGCGAATGTTTACGACGTACATGTAACTGTGTAAATATAAGTGAAATATTTTCGATATAAGTTATTTTACATTATGAAGTTGGGCGTTTACATATCGTGAAGTCTGACTTTCAATCTTTCCACGAAGAGTGTGACTGATCCTGTGGATATCGCTGTTGGCATGAAGATATTGTACATATAAAAATTTCACACGCAATTCTCTCATACGTGAGAACACATCGGGTTTCTAATTTTTGAAGAAAAAAATAATCTTGCGGATCCTGCTTTTGTTTGAATAACAAATTTTGACCAGTCTAAATACCCCGTGTTCAATGGAAGCCCTTTTAGTCCAAGAAAGTTATAGATATCATGTAACTTTTATTCAGTAAGGATATAACCGTGCAGTTATGGACAATTCATATGACCCTTAGCTCTAAAACATAACTAATGAAATATAGGGAAAACGGCAAAATATGCTCAGAGTCTTTTGGACGTATCAGGGGAATGATTTGAAAGTCTAAAGCCATACTAACAAAGTGTATGTTCGATTTAAATTAACATAGGATTTAAATTTACATTTTTAAACTGC